CTCCTGTCTCAGGACCTAGGCAGCCTGGGCGCTCCAGCTTGGCAGGCTCTCAGGCCCAGCATTCATACCTTCACTCAGCTCAATGCTCATCCCTCTCTGCAAAATCCTCACCCTCTCAAGTACCCCAGGGAAGCCATCCTGGCTGGAACGGGTAGGCCCAGGCTCTGGACACCATGGTGTGTCTTGTGTGGTTGTTAGTCTGTGGGTGCCTGTGAACCCACAGCTTCCACAGGGCACTAGGCCAGCCATAGGGATGATCACTCACCCGCATTTCTCCATCTCCTGATAGGGATGTGGTGGCTGGGACAGACATGGGCCTTGCACTTGACACCTGAACTTGGCATCGACTAGGAGGTGGCCATGATGGGACACATGTAGGGGACTGTGGGTCTTGAGTGAGATGAGGCTAGGGACAGTTCTGCAGGCAGTGGGGGGCAGTCAGATGTGATTAGGAAGACTATTCTGGGTGATACACTGATGGGTGGGTAGAGATTTGAAACATTCATGAAGTCTTGCTGATGGCATGGATTGGGGGCATCATCCAGCTGGTGCCCTTCCCAGAGGTGGGAATTTGGGGGTGGCAAGCAGTTCTGAGGGAAGGGAAAGAAGAGGATGGAGTTTGAGATATCTGTACATGAACTCAGCCCAGCTGGGGTGAGTGCCCAAAGCCCTGGGGCCTGTGCCTCTAAAGCCAGGAGCTGGGCTACCACAAGCTGCTGGGCAGACCCTGCAGCCACATGGGCCTCTTTTGGCCTCTGTTGCTGGCAGGCTACAGGGGCCTCCATGGGAAGGGCCCCAGCACTGGGAGGGTGCTGCTGAGGTCAGGGCCGTGCCCAGGCGGAGCTGCCCTCAAGTGGCCAGCCTGTTTACTTGTCTCCAAGAAGTGTTTGTGATCTCAGGGGTGCAACTTCCCCTCCCTCCTCCCCTTCCCCCCAGCTCACCTGCCTCTGGCTTCCCTCCTTCACCAGCAAGGCTGAGGGAAGGGCCCCAACCCCTGAAGCTCCCTACCCTGCTCTTCCCATCTCACCCTCCTCTGACCTCCCCTGGACAGGTCTCCCTTCCAGCCAGCCTGGTGATGCCCACAGTCTTGGGCCTTCCAATGGCCATGTTTCCAAGTCCCTCCTTTGGGCCACCTTCTACTCGGATCACCTCCACATAAGTGAGGAAGGACACTGCCTCTCCCTCCTCAGGGAGTCTGTATTCAGCCTGCTCTTCAAGAGAAGACAGGTGCCCCCTCCTGCACAGGTCCTCCCACCAACTCCCAAGTCTGCAAAAGACAAGCTCATCTTTGCTAGGACCAGGATGCCCCCTTTTGTTCCACCCCCAGGCCTGTCTACCTTTCCTGTTCCATGGGTCCTGGGATTGGGTCTGTGCCCCAGAGCACTGGCCACCCCTCTGCTTCCTGGGCCCAGATTTCCTCTTCCTCCCTGTCCCCCTAGGCCCTGTTCCTCTCAACTCACCCCCTCCACCCAACTGCCCCTGCTCCGTTCTATACTGTCACCCCCATTCTTCCTGATGCAGGAACCCCCAGGCCTCCACCCTTGACTCCATCTTTTGGAGTTTTCCG